GACCCTTCACCCCATCTACTCTCCTCGGTTTGTGCCGCCTCGGAACTTTCCATCTGAAACCCATATCTTAGCACTCTCTTACATTGAATAAGGGTTTATTCCATTGGCGAGCCCTTATTGATTGAGTGGCTACTAAATGCCAGGCATTGCTGCCCTCGTGGACTTAGCAGGGGAAGAGAGGGAAAGCAGGTTATTGGGAAAGCGCTGAAAGTGACATTTATGGCGGTGTGGATGGAAACCGACTGGTGTCGAGGGAGGCCTGTCTGTGGCGGTGACAATTAAGCTGAGGTTTAAAGGATGAGAAGGAAGGAGGCAGCCGCCTGAGAGCCAGCAAGAGAGCATTGGAGGCAGAAGCAGCACCGTTGCGTGAAGGCTCTGGGTCAGCAGTGGCTTAGGTATTCTGGAGAATGAAGGGAAACAGACTGGACTGCAGCTCTTTGAACGAGGAGAGCGAATCGAAATGACAGCAGAGAGCTGGGCAGGGTCCCTGTGGGCCTTTGGAGGGATTAGATTTCCTTCTGGGTAGGGACCCTTTGAAGGGCTTAAAGCCAAGGAAGATGTGACGTGTTCACTCTGGCAGCGAGTAGAGAGTGGACTGGAGGGAGGAAACACCAGGTACGAAGCTCCAGGTGAGACGGGGTGGCCAGGGCCAGAGTGGTGGCAGCAGAGGTGGGGGGCCACGGGCCAGTTCAAGATGTACTTCGGAGCTGGGCTTTCTGATGGGTTGAGTGGGGAGGGCGCGGGGGGGAATCAGAGACCATCCCCATGAGTAGCGGGCGTGGTGAGGGTGGTGACTGCATTTAGTGAAACAGGAGGGCAGAGGCAGGGATATGTTGAGGGGCAGCAGGGGGAGATTCTCCCTTAAGCACACGAAGTCTGAGCTGATTGTGAGACGTTCCCGTGGAGATGTCAGGCCATCAGAACATAAATCTGGAGCTGAGAAAGGTTCAGGTTGGAGACAGACTTTGGAAATACAAATGGAATTTATGCCCTAGCTGGTTTGGCTCAGTGGATAGAGCATCGGTCTGCAGACTGAAGGGTCCCAGGTTCAGTTCCAGTCAAGGGCACAGGGCCGGGTTGCAGGCTCTATCCCCCATTGGGGACGTGCAGGAGGCAGCTGATCAATTATTCTCTCTCATCACTGATGTGTCTATTTCTCTCTCCCTCTTCCTTCCTCTCTGAAATCAATAAAAATATATTTTTAAAAATTAAATAAAAACCACACACACACACACACACACAAATGGAATTTAAACCTGTGGGTGTGGGTACGATTACTATACCTGTTTCCTAGGGCCATGGAAATTGTTCCACAAAATGCATGACTTAGAGCAACAGATAGTTATTTTCTGGAGTTCAGAATCAAGGTGGTGGCTGGGACATCTCCCCTCTGGGGCCTGTAGGGGAGGACCCTTCCTTGCCTTTTCAAGCTCTGGTGGCTCCAGATATCCCTTGACTTGTGACAGCATGACTCCTGTCCCTGCGTCCGCCCTCCCATGGCTGTCTTCCCTCTGCGCCTTATGAGGACACCAGTTATATTGGACTAGGGGCCCAGCCTACTCCAGTATGACATCCTCTTACTAATTACATGTTCAGTAACCCCATTCCCAAATAAGGTCATGTTCTAAGGCAGCGGTTCTCAACCTGTGGGTCGCGACCCCTTTGGGGGTCGAACGATCCTTTCACAGGGGTCGCCTAAGACCATCGGAAAACACATATATAATTACATATTGTTTTTGTGATTAATCACTATGCTTTAATTATGTTCAATTTGTAACAATGAAAATACATCCTGCATATCAGATATTTACAGTTATGAAGTAGCAACGAAAATAATTTTATGGTTGGGGGTCACCACAACCTGAGGAACTATATTAAAGGGTCGCGGCATTAGGAAGGTTGAGAACCACTGTTCTAAGGGATTTCAACACGTCTTTTGGGGGACACACCATTTATCCCATGACAATCTCTGGAGCAAGGTTGAAAAGAGAAAAGAAGGTGCCCTAGGACTTTGCCATCTTGTAGCAGTCAGATAGAGGACAAGTCAGCAAAGAATATGGACAAGCCACCCACCGAGAGGCAGGATGGGTGTGGGAGGGAATGGTGGACTCTGTGAAAGAAATTCAGCTCTTGGTCACAGGGCTGAGAAGTTGACCCATGGAGGTGACAGCGTGGTCACTGCTGATCTTGGCCAGCGCAGCACCGGAGTGGAGCAGAGGGCGGGAGCCCAGTTGGAGGAGGTGAGAAGACGGTGGGAGGCAAAGCCATGGAAAAGGCAGATCACTCTTAGAGATTTGGCTTTGGAAGGAGAACAGAGAAATAGGGCAGCAGCTGCCAGGAGAGGATTAAGGAAGGCTTTGTTTTGTTTTTGGTGTGTTTTGTTCTTGTGTTTGTGCTTTTTTTTTTTTTTTTAAGGGCGATGCTAGAGCACGTTTGTGTGCTTGAATTAGCTCTAGCTTCGTGTTGTGTGTTTACATTGTGTGTGTTTTGTATTCAGTTTTCGTTATCACGTGTGTTCTCACGTTGCCTCCCAGCATTGAGGCCCCTCAGGGGCAGGACTGTGCCCTCTATTTCTCTCGTCTCCCAACCGTCTAGCCTGACACTCATTCATTATGGTCATGGCAAGAAAAATATCCTGTACACAGCCTGGCACCACGAACGGCTGTTCTTTCATTTTCTAATGGAGAAAGGACTAACAGTGATTTCCACAGGCGCTGTTCGTGGAACGTCAGCTGACAAAATCAGCTGACAAAATCCTTGTCTGGTGTTCTCGCCAGAGAACATTTCTGAGGTGCCCTCTGTGAGACAGGCTCATCTGCCTGGCACATCCTCAGGGAACAGAAACTGGGGAACGGGTTGCTTAGGGCCATGAGAACAGTTGACTGACCTCCTAGGAAGAGCAGCCCCATGGTCACGTCCAGAGATGCCCATGAAACCAGACCAGCCTGTTCTCCAGACCCACCAGGAGACGGGAGTGTCTGGCCACCGAGGGCAAAGGCACAGGCGACAGGAATAGGGGGCAGGTGCAGAAATGCGTGCTCTGGAGTCAGCAGCCTGCAGAGGAGGCTCCACACCAGGACTCTTCTCCCAGGAAGGCGCCTGAGCCTGCGTGCGAGGGGAGCAGGCAGGCACACCGGACTCTACCACAGCGAGGCAGACACCTGTCGTCAAACGTGTCGTCTTCTCTCTAATGTTCTTTTCAGAGACTGCTTCTTTTCTAAGGGATGTGGGTTTTTAAACCATCTCTAAAGAGAGTGCATGGCTAGAGGCAGCCTGCAATAATCCCATCAGTTGCACGCAATGGTCAGGTGGCTCGGAAGCCCTGGTGTGTGTGGGCACGCTGGACACAGTGACCTAGGCAGATGTGGGATCGAAGGCCCCATGACACAGGACAGACCAGCAGTGACCTAAAACCATCACAGGCACCCCCGGGCATCAGTGCCAGAGGACAGGAGGGGCCTGCCATGGTCACACAAATGGTCACCACCAGGACTGCAGGAGGCCAGGACTAGAGAGGGGCCAGGTGCTGGCAGAAGATGCCCGGGAGTGAGGGGACAGGGACAGGACAGGACCATGAAGTAGCCCCGAGGCAGCTCACCCGCCTCCACAATAACTCCCTCCTGGGAAGACCAGCCTTGCATTGTGGGAAAAGCACGTCTCGCAGCCCAGACGAGGGCTGTGGCTCTCTACCAGCGCCCAGCACACAAACTCCTTTTTACATGTGAACAATCAAGACTTTGTAATAACACGCGTTGGTTTTGGTTGTTCAATACTGTTATCTGGATGAAAAAGATGAGCAATGAGAGCAAATGTAGAGGAGCAAGGTGGGGAGGTGCTGTGAGTGGGGGAAATCAGCTCCCAATGGCAAGGCAAGTGGAGGTGGTCTTGATCACGCCCTTCCTCCCAGCTCCCTCGCCCACCCCCGCTGCTGGAAGGGTAGGAGAGCAGCACTTTCTTCATCGCTTCATCAGCGGGACATTTCTGGGGGAAACAGAAGTTGAGCTAATGTGGGTCATGAACAGCGGAGTGCCTTGAGCCACATCTTAGAAACACAATCTGCGTTCATATCTCATGCTTTGAACTTGGTTTTCTCCAAAATGAACCCCTACCTGCTTATGGCAGATTCTTAGAAAAGAAGATGCACTGTGCTCTCTGCTTCTGGTAACTGACTGTGTGAGATGTTCTCTGAGCTCCGGTGCTCTTCTGCAGAAGCTCAGCCCGCACCTCACAGCAGCGGGTCCGAGTGCGCTTCTGACTGACATCAGACTGTGTATCCATGAGCATGGCTCTGTAATTGTGATATTAGAGAACTTTTAAAAAACTTTTATTTGTTGATTTGAGAGAGAAAGAGAGAGAATCATCCATTTGTTATTCCACTTATGGATGCATCCATTGGTTAATCTTCGTATGTGCCCTGACCCGGGATCCAACCTGCAACCTTGTTGTATCAGGACAACGCTCTAACCGACTGAGCTACCCAGCCAGGGACGGTGAACTTTTTAGAAGCTAATGAAAAAAAACAGTACTTCCTTGGGAAAGTGGGATACAAACTCCTAAGAAAGGGATTGTTGGCATGGACGGATATTATAGTTTACCCCATTATTCTGGGGAGGCCTCTTGTTTTATATGATATATTATTGAAAATAGAATGCCTGTATTTCAGAATTCCTTTGTAAAACCTGGGTGTTCTGTAGACATTGGTTGCCCGAGTTTTTTTACAAAGGAAAGCTCCTGCGTGTCTCTTAGCTCCTCTGGTGGGCGTGGGATGGTGATGGAGTCAGCAGTTCGGTTCCCTCTGGGTCTGTTCTGGAGCCACAGAGCAGCCAGGGCCGGGCCCCCTGCTCACGGGAGGACCGAGCCGAGATGGGAGGCGTCACTGCCACACAGTGTGGGAACCACAGGCCCTGGGGGTTCACGGATAGGGTTTTATGTAGAGTTCATGTCGAAGTAGCTCCTGCATTTCTAAACTGCTAATGCTCTCTTCCTCTCTGCTTTCTTAGGGCCCCTGAGATCATCCTTGGTTTACCATTCTGTGAGGCGATTGACATGTGGTCCCTGGGCTGCGTCATCGCGGAGCTGTTCCTGGGCTGGCCGCTCTACCCAGGCGCCTCGGAGTACGACCAGGTGGGTCCAGGCCGCACAGGTGTTCAGGACAGTCGCTCCGTTTCATTTAGAATGGGACACTCGGGCGAGGTTATGGGGTTTATGTCGTCTCCCAAGCCCTGCTTCCCTCAACCTTGCTTTTCTCTCTATGTTCTTCTTTCTTTCCCCTTTTTCATTTTTCACTTCTTTCTTTCCCTATAACATTGTCTTTTTCTCAAAGGCACTAAAGCCATTAATATACCACATGCAAGGTGACAGGAAACGCTCTGACCTCATTCTCCTCTTTTCTTGCAGATTCGGTATATTTCACAAACACAGGGTTTGCCAGCTGAATATTTATTAAGCGCAGGGACAAAGACAACTAGGTTTTTCAACCGTGACACGGACTCGCCGTATCCTTTGTGGAGGCTGAAGGTAGGAAGAGCGTCCCCTCCATCCCTCACCAAGGCCCAGCATTCAGGGGAAAGGGTGGGGCGGTTCCTGGGAGCTTTTGTCAGCAGCCCCCATGGGGGAGGGGAGGGCTGTTGTGATAAGTGGTGTGGATGAATTTCAATGTTCAAAAGCACCACTTTGCTTGGCTCCTGCCACCTGCAAAGCCCAAGTTCCAGCTCCGACTGCTGAACTCCCAGGATTTAATGAGGTGAACCCCGATGACCTGTCTGGTAAAGAGAGAAATGCACCACCCCCTGCCCTAAAGGAGCTCCCCGTCCAGAGGGAGACTGAGCACGTGCCCCCATGTAAGTGCCATGTAAGTGGGGACCTTGAACCCTGCCTGTGGCGAGGGCCCCAGAGGAGCTTTTGAGCCGGGCCCTAAGATGGGGAGGGTTTCCCGCCCAGGAAACAGCCCCGGCAGCCACACCTCCGAGGCCCCGAGGAGGGGTCTGCTGGTCCAGCCGGCAGGTGCTGCCACTCACCGTTGCACACCAGGAACTCGGGTGGTTTTGCTTCAACAAAAACATGTTTTGCTTTCACTTTTATCTGTGCCTCGTAGTTAAAAATTAACGTAATTTCCTGGGAGGGAGAAAAGAATGCTAGTCTTCAGTGTTTTATGTTCATTTTAGGTGCTTCCTTTTTTTGCAAGAGAGTGGGTGGGTGTTTTTATTTTGTTTGGTTTTTGACAGAAACCACAGCCAAATTCTAATATGATTTAAAGATAATGTGTGGAATCTAATGAACAAAATAAACAAAATAGAAACAGACTCGTAGATAAAGAAAACAGACTGGCAGCTGTCAGAGGGGAGGGGGATTGGGGAGCTGGGGTAAAAAAGTGAAGGAATTAAGCAAAAAAAGAAAAACACTTACATGCCCTAGCTGGTTTGGCTCAGTGGATAGTGTCAGCCTGCAGACTGAAGGGTCCCGGGTTCAATTCCATTCAAGGGCACATACCCGGGTTGTGGGCTCGATCCCCAGTAGGAGTGTGCAGGAGGCAGCCAATCAATGATTCTCTCTCATCATTAATGTTTCTATCTCTCCCTCCCTCTCCCTTCCTCTCTGAAATCAATAAAAAATATATATATTTAAAAGAAAACTTACAGACACAGACAACAGTATGGTGATTATCAGAGGGGAAGGAGGGTGAGGGGAAATAGACTTGACTTTGAATGGTGAGCACAGAATACAATATACAGGGGACGTGTTATAGAATTGTACTCTTGAAACCTGTATAATTTTATTAACCAATGTCACCCTGATAAATTCAATAAAAATCAATAAAATAAAGGTCATGTGTGGCCAAGAGTCACAAAAGATTTAGAAGAGAGATTTGGGAGCTAAGCGAGCACTCTTGGCCTATTGGTGGGAGGGCTGCCATTTGGTGACTGTGAGGTGAGAGGCTTAAGGTCAGTCCAGTAAAAAGAGTCCTGGTGGCGGAGAGTGAGGCCAGACGGGCAGGGTTCATGTCCATATCTCAGGTAAGAGCCTCGGTCCTACTTGTCCCCAGGGTCGAAGCCTAGATCTTAGCTGCTCCACGTGTGCTGTCCCGGAATGAGATTTCGAGGTTTACTTACCTGAGATCCATGGATGAGCAAAAAAAAAAAACCACACACACACACAAAACAAACGAACAAAAAAACAACACATAGTCATTGGAAACAGCGGCTTCCTAGACCAAGGCCAGTGGGGACCTGGCCGAGTGTGCCCGGCCCCAGACGGAGGGGCAGCAGAGAACAGCCCAGAGCCTGCTGCGGCCTCCTGACCATGTGACCGTGGCCAGCTCCTAAGCTTTCTATTCCTGTTTCTCCCTCTGGAAATGGGTCGGTAATCATCCTGCCTAAGGTGGTTGTAAAGTGTCTTAAATGAGTTCATGTGCTTTATAATAGTGCCTGGCACGTAGGGAGAGCTATATGCATAAACACTTGATAAAAAATTAAATTAAATTTTAAAATGTGTGGAAGGGCCTTCTGCTTTTCCGCATATGGAATCTTACCGTATCCCTTAAAGTAGGGGGAAATGTAGGGTTTTCATGGATACTGCATTCCTTGTTCATCTTGGAATCCTCCAGACCTGACTCAGAGCAGGCCCCCTAACAGGTGTTGGTGGGAAGGAAGGAAGGGAGATGAGTGAGTGTGGAGGATGAAGAGGGAGAGAGTAGTGTGCAGGTCACTTTAAGAGGAATCAAAGTCTCCTTCTCCAAAAGGTGGGAAAAGGCCCTCCATGAGAAACAGAGGGTAGAGGTTTTAAGTCACAGTGACCAGGAAGTAATTCACATTACCAATCGGCTTTTGCCTCTCTTGACCAGACACCAGATGACCATGAAGCAGAGACGGGGATTAAGTCAAAAGAAGCAAGAAAGTACATTTTCAACTGTTTAGACGACATGGCCCAGGTAAGCTCCGTGGGCGAGCATGCAATGTCAGCCCTTAAAAACCAAGCACAGCAAGGCTTCTGCAAGAGCAATATAGGGTAGTGAGTAGAAATCCTCATTACTCAACTGCCGTGGTTGACCTTGACCTCATGACCTGCCAGCCTGAGTAAGAATACCACTGGGTTTGTGGGACATTGTTAAAGCCTTACACCAGCTCTTGAAAAATAGCTTCAGTTTATTGGTTCCCATTTGCGAAATAGTCCTGGCCAATCTCACTGACGTTTTCATGAGAAGAATTTAAGCCCATTAGTACATTTGAGCTTAATGCCCTTGCCTCAGTGTTAGTTCCTAAGGGCTGCCGTAACAAGGTACCACAAACTGGGGGACTTAAGACAACGGGCATTTATTCTCTAGAAGCTAGAAGTTCCAAATCAAAGTACCAACTGCTCCCTCGAAAAGCTCTGGGAAGAAACTGTCCCATGCCTCTCTGCTGGCTTCTGGTGGCCCCTGGGTGGAGTCAGTGTCCCCGCATCCCCAATCTCTGTCTCCTTCTTCATATGGCTTCATCCTGTGTTTCCTCTGGTCTCTGCATCTAAATCTCCCTCTTCTTTATCTTATAAAGACACCAGTCATTGGACTTCAGGCCCACCCTATTCCAGTTTGACCTCATTTTAACTGGATCACATCTGCAAAGACGCTATTTCCAAATAAGGTCACATTCACAGGTGCCGGGCATTAGGGCTTAAACATGTCTTTTGCAAGGACACAATTCCATGCTTCACACTCAGTCTCTCTCAGCTCCCTGGAGGGGCCACGGGCTCTCACTTTTGTGCCCAGAGAAAGTGCTAGAACTACAGCTATCCTTAGTGTAAAGACTAGTCTCAAATCAGGGCAACCCAAAGTGAATTTTTCTTAAAAGCAATGAGAAGTAAAGCTAGAGATCAATAAACATTCAGCACCCCTCTTACGGAAGACAAGTGTAACCCAAAATCATGACGCCGAGTAGAGTATCCTTGTCAGTTGATTAGAAGCTTAGATTGTCTTAGAAAACAAATTGCTTTCCAGAGCATGTCTTGGAAAACGTAGAAAGCACCACAAAACAAGTCTCTTAAAGGCTATGCTGGTAGAGACTTGATCTGGGAGGAAAAATCCTGTGCAAACACCCTGCTTGTCTGGCAGAGGTGACCCAGTGAACACAGGGACTGAAATGATCCGGCCCTAACAGGGAGCTACAGAGGACGACACACTGTAGGTGTAGGGGGAGGGCACTTAGGCCCCAGCATTTCCCTCCGAAGGTTAAATACATAAACCCTTTGCATCTTATTTTGTACTGCTTGGTTGTTTTTCATTGTGGTAAAAACAACACAGCACAAAATTTACCATTTCAGCGTTTTCAACTGTCCAGTTCAGTAGTATTAGGTTCATTTACACAGTTCTACAACCAATCTTCAGAGTTCTTTTCATCTTGTGGTTCTTTTCCATGAGGTGTGATGTGAGGCGCATTTTGATTTAACTGATTATAGCAAGAGGGTGCACATCCTGTCACTTCTGTATGTCGCAGGTACCGGCAGCGACCGCCCCTTCCCCAGGCGTGGCCTCCCTCCGCCTTTCCCGCAGAGAGCCCTGCCACATCCTGTGGGCGGCAAGGACATGTGGCGGTGCCTTCAAAGGGCAGACACCGCCCTGCAGGAATTGAGAAGGGGGATTGAGAGATCGGATGGAGTTGCAGAGCAGAAGGGAGTCGAGGAGGCCCAGCAGGGTCTTGGTAACCTGTCCTCCTTGCTTCCAGGTGAACATGACCACAGACTTGGAAGGGAGTGACATGCTGGTGGAAAAGGCAGACCGGCGGGAGTTCATCGACCTGTTAAAGAAGATGCTGACCATCGATGCTGATAAGAGAATCACTCCGATCGAAACCCTGAACCACCCCTTTGTCACCATGACACACCTACTCGACTTTCCCCATAGCACACAGTAGGTGTCCTGCTCCGTGCTCTATACAAGGGCTCGGCAAGTTTTTCTTTAAAGCCCCAGAGTGAATGTTTTAGGCTTTGCAGCCAAACGGTCTCCGTTGCAGTCAGCTCTGCCATTGTAGCTGAAAGCAGATGCAGACAAGACATAAACCAACGAGTGAGGCTGCGTCCCAGTGAAACATTATTATAAAAACAGGTGGCGGAGCCTCGGCAAGTCCAGGGCTGGGTGGGCCGGACTCCGGGTGTCTGTGCATGGACGGAAATGCTCAAAATGGCAGGGTCCACAAAGCAAAGCCCCTCTCAGTGCCAGAGGTCACTCCCAGACCCTTCTGGAAAGGACTCTGTCTAGTTTGGATTTGGGTTCGTTCATTCATTCATTCAGCGTGCTGTGTGCTGTGCCAGCTGCTGGGGGACAGTCGGGGGCAAAGCAGATGGGGCCCCTTCCCAGTTGAGGGGAGAGAAAGGTACGAAACTAGTGATGCCCACATAACCAGGCTGATATCAGGGCAAATATAAGGTGTGATGAGACCGAGTGACAAGGGAGCCTCACTTGGGACGGAGCAAGAAGTGAGTGCAGAAGGATGAGTGGGAGGTAACTGATGGGAAGGCTGGCGAGGGCGGAAAGGGTATTGCTTGTGGGGAGACTCGCCATGGACAGGACCAAGCCCAAGAGCTGGGGGACAGTGGGAGAGCTGAGGCCCCAGGACCAGACGGGACGAGCCTTCCTTGCACAGGATTTTGGTCTTGATCCTAAGAGCAATGGGGAGTCGTTGAAGGACCTGTAGAAGGAACTGGCTGATTAGAGTGTCAAGTCCATGAGCCCTGAAGACATGGCCATCACATTGGCAGCTTGGAAGCTGTTGGTGACTTAGAGCTGTTTCAGTGGATGATAGAAGCAGAAACCAGCTTAGCCAGTTGAAAGCCTGAGTGAGAGGTGAAGAAATAGGATCCTTTCAAGAAGGGAGACTGTGAAAGGGGTGGGAAGAAATGGAGGGGTGCCTGGGGAGGGCCCAAGGGGACTTTAGGAAGAGACTTGAGCAATTGAAAATGCTGATTGGAAGTGTCTGGTACTAAGTGAGAAACTAAAGATAAAAGATGCTCAGAAGAGAAGTTTCCTGAGACGGTGGAAGGGGCTGGGTGGGACTCAGAGCACAGGTGGAGGACTAGGCCAGTGTCACCATGGATGAAGGAGGGCGCAGACGTTGGCTGGAGTGCTGGGTTAGCAGAGGAAAGATGAGGGAGCTCTTCAGACAGCTCTCTTCTCTTGTTGAGAGCAAGGTGTTTAGGTAGGAGAGTTTAGGTAGTTGGAGCAGAAGGTGGCAGAGAAAATTGACCAGAGAAATACAGTGGAATTGTTGAGCATGGAGGTTGGACATGAAGAATAGGATGTAACTGAACTCCCCAGGTGAAGGCATGGAGAAAAGAGAGTGTTGGGTTCATCCAGGTTGGAGTTTTGTCAGGCTACGAAGAGAAAGAGAGATTGACAGACTCATGATGTTGGGATAGAGCATTGTAATCCCAATGGATGGCTATGGGGCCTTAGCTGAAAAGGAAAGGAAGATGAGAAGGTCCAGAGACACTGAACAGTCTGATCAACTCAGACTGGCTATTTTAGTAATTGTCAGATGAACCAGATGGGTGACAATGTGGCTGGGGGATGGGGTACTTGAATGTGTGGTCTGGGGGAGTGGAGCAGTATCAGGTTTGATAGTCCAAAGAACCCACAGCCGGCACTGAGCCCCGGGGTGAGACGTAACTGAGAAGCCAGGGTGTCCGGCAGGTAATCCGTGTGTCCCTTGAAGAATCCCTCGGTGGCAGGGCATGTGTTAAAGTAGAAGACTGGGTAGGAGGCACAGGCCCGGTGAGTGAGGGCGAGAGAAAAGGCCATGGCAAGAGAATGGGAGACAGTACTAGTTTTCAGAGTCTGCGATAACAAATACCACTGAGGGGCCGAGGGGCTTAAAAAGCAGAAATTTGTTTTCTTATAATTCTAGAAGTCCAAGATCAAGGGGTTTGGCAGAGCTGGTTTCTTCTAAGGCCTCTCTCCTTGGCTTGTAGATGGCTGTCTCCTCCCTGTGTTCTCACATGGTCTTCCTCCCTCCTCAATATGAACTGGACTAGGGCCCACCCTGCTGACCCCATTTTACCTCTTTAAACATCCCATCTCCAAATTCAGTCACATTCTCAAGTACGGGGGTTAGAACTTTAACATATGAATTTGGGGGGAAGGGCACGGTTCAATTCATAACACAGGGTAACCAGGGATATCACTTCAGCCACTCAACCCAGAGGTATGTGGGATGAAAGTCACATCCCTGGACGTCTGCAGGGAGAAGCAGTGTGCTCACGAGCGCCGGATTAGAGAGGCTCAGGGGAAAGGGGAAATGTGTGAGAAGAGGCTGGGGAAGAGAGACATTTGCAGATCATGGTTGACCTGCCATGACAAGACTCATATTGGGCTGAATCTCAGGCTGGACTTGACCTTAGCCAGCCTACAAGAAGTGACTGGTGGCGCCCGCCACAGACGGCACATCCTCTAATTTCAGTTCTGTTCTTTATCAGTTGATGTTAAGCAAGTCAAATCTCATTACAACAAACAGTGAGTCTTTCATTTAGAACCATGTTTGAAACAACCGAACTCCAGTACAAAGAAAGAACCTGGCCCCATCCCTTGCAAACTCTTGTTGTGGTACTTGTCCTGTTTCTGGGTGTGGTAGGAGTGCTTCAGGGGGGTGTCATTCGATCCCACAGAGGGAAGCTAGACTTGGTGATTTACTGAATAAGCCCCCAAAAGATCACTTTATATTCAGGGGTGAAGTGGGGTGACTGAGAAAGAGCTATGGATAGGAGATGGAGGGGTGCTCTCCAGTGGGTTCGCATTAGCCATCTGTCAGTGAGACAGTCACCCACATAAAGTCAGAGTCACAGCTGCATGACCGCAGGGTCCTGTCCATCTCTGGGTTCCGTGAGGAAGCAGCACTAGCGCTTCACTGTACTTGGTGAAGACCAAGCAGGGAGACCATGAGCATCAGCTTCAAATTCAGATCTTGGTGTGGGTCCCAAGAGGACCACTGGCAATTTATAACTCAGAAAGTCGGCCTCAGAAGGAAAAGCAGGTCTTTGAGCACACCGAGGCTTCCCTGAGAGTAGGCCTAGTCCCTAAGGGCCCCTAGAACTCGCTGAGAAGACCAGGAGAACTCCAGGGCGAGAAGAACCCTCCAGGCCCACCCTGCTGTAGACCCCACCTTGGGGACTGGGCCAGAGCTGCCCCAACATCTAGACCAGTGATGGCGAACCTATGACACGCGTGTCAGAGGTGACACACGAACTCATTTTTTTGGTTGATTTTTCTTTGTTAAATGGCATTTAAATATATAAAATAAATATCAAAAATATAAGTCTTTGTTTTACTATGGTTGCAAATATCAAAAAATTTCTATATGTGACACGGCACCAGAGTTAAGTTAGGGTTTTTCAAAATGCTAACACACCGAGCTCAAAAGGTTCGCCATCACTGATCTAGACTGAGATGTGAAAGAGGCCCCCCCATTTCTCCATACCAGGATTCTAGTGCACAAGTTCCTTACAAACGAGTCTCATAGAAGTAACCCAGAGTGCAACTGCCAGGCCATTTCAGTTAGAAAATTCTGAGTCTAAAAGCTTTTGGTTGAATTGTCACAAAATTATTGAGTGCTTTCCATACGTTCCAAAGGGAATGTAAAACCTATATTTTTATTCCTTCAGCCTCTATAGGAAACCACTTAGCAGTGTGTTTGGTACTTAGCAGATGCTCAGAACATGCTGGCCTTACCAGCATTATTAGTTTTTTTAGCTATTGGTTACTGTAGGACACGTTTTCCTTTCTCTCCAGGGTCTGCAGTCAGTAAATGATTTTGTGTGCATTGTGTGGCCAATGTAAGTAATTCTTAACTCCGAAAGAAAGAGGAGTCTCTGGCATGTCTAAGACAGTTTGGAGCATCTTTTATGGGAAGGATGTTTTGGGGTGGCCCACAAGCACCTGCTTGGCCCAAAACATAGCTTACCTATAGAATGCAGAAATAGTATTACCTTTGTAATCTTAAAATAGTAGAAAATTATTATATTTATATTCAGTTATTACATTATAATTATATAAGTATTTAAAACTGAACTTTAAATGCTGTTTTATTTTGAATATTAGCATTTGAGGAAAAGTAAGTTTAATTAGAAGAAGACACAGACTGACTGAGAAACAAGGTATAAATTCTGAAGAACACTTTATGGTGGACTTTCACGAACTTGGTTGCACTTATATTTCAAGAGGATGTATAGGTATATGTGAAGATTGCCAGTAATTAGCTCTTGACCTTGGCAGATTACCTGTCCTCTCTAAACCTCATCTTCACTCCTAAAATAGGGGCATCACCCATCTCTCCTTCTCGTGGTTGTTGTAGGACTGAGTGCAAGGATCTTGCACACAACTACCACCGCTCTCTGTCACTGTCAGCCACGATTACTAATTATTAATATCCTTACAGTTCTCATTACATGCCCAATTCCGGTGCGGAGAAAGTGGGTAACAGCGTCATGATACTGGGTTGGCCAGTTCCTTGGCTGTCCCCTAGATGGCGCTGATGCCCCAGACTCGCTGGGAAGGATTAGCGCAAGGAGTTGTCTTTGTGGAAGGAGGCAGCAGGTCATGCATGAGAACTTACACGTTTGTTTATGGGCCAGAAAGCATACTGGAAGCTGAGAATGAGCAGGGAAGGTGGAGACAGATCAGCGATATGAGGAAAATGCAGCGAGAGCCATCAGGTCTGTTGTGCTGTGGAGAACCGTTGCCTGTGCAGGCTGGGGAGAAAAGGCAGTAAGACAGGGTGAAACTTACCTAAATAACGTTAACTGTACAAACACAGACTTTACATGAGAAATCCAGGAAATTTAGGACTAAAGCTTCCCCACTTGTCTTGTTTACTAGATTAACTGTTCTCTCCTTTTCTCTCGCCATTTTCTCCCCTTTATCTCATGCTACCCTCTTCTCTTTCCCTTATACCTCGGTCTCTGCCTTTCTCATGAACAGCGTCAAATCATGTTTCCAGAACATGGAGATTTGCAAGCGTCGGGTGAATATGTATGACACCGTGAACCAGAGCAAAACCCCTTTCATCACTCACGTGGCCCCCAGCACATCCACCAACCTGACCATGACCTTCAACAACCAGCTGAACACTGTCCACAACCAGGTAAGTGGGGAGCAGAGAAGGCCGGCGGGGCTGACAGCATCAGGAACTGTATTTCCCCAGCCAACCCTGTAAGACAGAATTCCTCTACTGTCACATTCAACCCTGTAAGAAGGTGTTTGCGTCAAGGTTATTTCCTTTGAGACCCGGCGCTCTTTCTGTCTACTGGGGGCCCCATTGAACAAGTTGTGTGCAACTCACTAAGGAAGTTGTTTCTGAGATGGTACCTCTTACCACTTCTCTCTGTCCTGATGTAGGAATAAGGTAAAGGAGATGCTATGATCCTTGTATGTCCGGCTTCTGCCTGGTAAAGAATTCTCAACTGGGACACTGACGATCATCCAGTTCGGGCCCCTCCTCCTTGTCCCCAGACAGCTGTGTCCACATGATCTCCTTCCAGGACAGATGAAACCTGTCCTTTCTCCAAGTCATGGGGAAAATCAAGTCAGTCTGTCATCAGAATTCCAGCACCTGGAACTGAAAGGGACCAGGAAACTAAGGTTTTCTTCCCATAGATGTCCAGCCTTTCACAGAAAATTAGCAGAATCTAGCACCTAACATGCTGCTTAAAATATGGATGACACCAGGAAATATTTATTGACTGAATAATCTCCAGGCCCTACCTCAGGCGGTCACTGGTGTCTAAGAGACTTTTACTTCCGTCTTCCAGTGTGACCAGTTCCCCAAAGAGTCTCCCTAGATTTTTTTCAGTTTTAATATCAATCTGCAGTGACAACGCTCCTGTGTGTGTATACTCACATGCGTGCACACGCATGCCTCCAGAAGAAAGGCTTTACTTCCCAGCCTAGCCTCTCTCCCTCTGCCTAAACTCTAGGAGAGGACACCCGACATCTGCTGCCCATGGGGGCCACTGGTGTTCTGAACGCTCTCCTGAGGGGGAAGACCTAAAGCTCGCTAAGGCCTTAGCGTGCAAAGAAACAAACATTCCCTCCCAGCACCTAGCCCAGCCCTCAGGCTAAAGCATCCACAGCCAGACAGGTTTTGTCCTTCCTCACCAGAACCCCACCACAGTGCGTAGACTGATCTGGCTGGTGCCAAGAGCACGCAGAGCAGAGGGAGATCAATTTAGAAGGGAAGGTTGGCCAAACCCAGGGAAAGAGGGAGTGCGGGACCAGAGTGCATAGACGGTGTCCGTTAGGCAGTAATTGGAGACTTTGGTGGGGGGCGGGGGGGGGTACATGCACAAAGTAGTCTTTTGGAAAGACCGTTCTAGCCTCTTGCCCAGTGAGAATTGGAAGAGAAAAAGTGGAGGCCAGAACATCTCTGGTCAGAGCTTCCCAGTCCCAGGCACCACAGGAGAGGACCTCCACTGGGGAAGTAGCGATTGACGAGAGTCAGGGGGTTCCAGGGACATTTAGAAGGAAGAAGCAGCAAACCTAGTGGCTGACCAGAAGGTGGGACAGTTGAGGATACCGGTGCCCCAAAGAGGGAAGCCCAAGGCTCCAAGACCTGCAGAGAGTCTGGACTTGGACGTGTGGAGTCTGAGCAGAGAGTGGGAATTATGTCTGTGGGGAAGCCTCCCAGAGAGATGGGGACGTGCAGAGAACCAAGAGGAAACACAAGGCACGTCATCAGTAACAAAACGCGGACACTGGCCCACACGTGCTGCACTGTCTCCCCTCACACTACCTGGAGGCCAACCATGTGGGGCTGCACAGACACTTAACATGACAATGTGTATCTTAAAATGCAAACATGTGCGCCACATCCCTTAGTAATTACCCTCAAACAAATAAATGTGCTTTGCACTGAAAGGCAGCATAAAATCTAAATATTAAAAAAATATGTAAAATGAGACTTTACCCTTTTTTTCAAATTTGACACAAATACATACCCTTCGTGTAATTCTATTTTTGTGCGTGTCCAAGATGTCCTTATGATTCTTTACTCCTTATTCTTTGGTCCTTGTAACCCCTGGTGGCCAACCCCCTTGTAAGCAATGGTGACTTTGAAGCCATTGGTAACCTCCACCTACCATGCTGAAGATCAGTGTGAATAAAGCTAAGATGGGGTAAAATTGGACAATTCCCAATTTAGAAGGTATTTTCCTTCTGCCTCCTTGCTTCACATAGAAGTTCGATGTCAAATGATGTTGCTTTCTGAAAGAGAAAGGAGAGAGGACATAATTTCAAAATTGCTCTAACCTATCTCCACTTCAATTCTCTTGACCTAGCATCTTTTCTCTCTCAGTCCCAGCCTTAGTAGCTGAACCCCAGTGTAAGAATTCACACCCTAAAAGGAGAAACCCCAGGCTCAGTGTGTCCCTCTCCCTCTCTGTTTCTGTAGCGTATTCCTTTGCAGTAACTGCTATGCGGCCGTCTGAGGGTCTCTGTAACCAATGCTGCCCTCAGCCCTCCCCAGACATGTGTGCCCTGGGCCTGCAGGTGCCTCTTCCTGGGCTGTACCCTCAGGTCCATGTATGTGCACCCCAAGCCCCTCAAGTGTGGGACAGAGCAGGGGTTCAGCTTGCCCCCGTCACTATGTTCCAGGGCAAAACCCAGGGAATCCAGGAATCCTAAACTCAAACCTGGCTTTCCATGGTGTTATGAAGATATGTTTGTCAAAGTGGAGGGCAGAGTATAAATCATCTCTAGGCTGATTTTTAACTTTGTAGTGTTTAGACATGTGGTCTGGGAGCATCATTTGCTCTCTTGCCTGGACCCCACAGACATCAGGAACAGCACCGAAAGCGACTGTCACGTGGCTGCAGGCACCTGCTTCTCCTTGAGACTTTCCAACCGAATCCCCTCTATTTCTGCTTCTTTGCCCTTGGTTTTTGTTTGTTCTTCTTTGAGTTCATTTATTTGACTTAGATTCGTGTTTCCCAACCTGCCACCACCCTCATTTTTTATTTTTGTTTATTTTTGTTTAATCCCCATCATTCCTTTAGGCTCCCACCTCCACCAGTGCCACTATTTCCTTAGCCAATCCCGAGGTCTCCATACTAAACTACCAATCTGCACTCTACCAGCCCTCAGCGGCATCCATGGCTGCGGTGGCCCAGCGGAGCATGCCCCTGCAGGCGGGAACAGCCCAGATTTGTGCCCGGCCGGACCCCTTCCAGCAAGCTCTCATCGTGTGTCCTCCCGGCTTCCAAGGTAAGGGTGAGCAGACGCCGCCTCTCACTGCTTCTGACCGGACCACCTAAGGGGCTCTGACACCGCAGGGCTCCGTCACGCCGACTTCCCTGGCATAAGGCCCTCTTCATTGCTTTCCATGGGCACGGGCATCCCTGAACTGTGGCCAGCCGAGAAACAGTGGGACTGTTATTCTCACCACCTGCCAGTGATTTGTCCCGGAATGACTGTCTTTAAATAAGCACATTGTTGTGCTCCCATTGTCATGCTGGTATCAGCTCTTGGACACCTCACATGAAATATCCTCCGTGTGGCTTATCTGTAGGAAAGTGCCAATCCCTGACTGCCAAGGCAGCCAGTTCTCATGAAGAACATACCTCCCAGGCTACCCCTGCTGATTCTTCAGCCATACACCCAACACGCTCCTCCTGGAGCCTCTATGAAGCTAGAGTTGACCATGTACTTGGCTACAGTTTACACAGAAAGCCCAAGAATCTGTTGTGGCAAGCCCCATGGGGCAAGCATGTGTGGGGGCCCAGTTTCAGAGTCAGGGCCACTCCAGATGGACTCCTCTGTCCTCTCCCCACACCGGCTGTGACGTAGTGACACACACGTGTCTTCAGAAGCATGTTTTCCTGTCGTGCGTGACTCGTCAGCATAACATTCCACTTTTGGCTTTACAGACTCCTTGATTTCACTTCTAGTCTTTGAACCCATTCAAGGTTGTTTTTTGCTTTTGGTTTCTAATTTAAGTTAGAAACGAAAGGGGAGAGTCCTAAGGACCAGGCAATGCCTGGAGGGGACCGGTGCGGAGAGGAGGGGAGAGCTGTCTTCCGCCAGCTTGCTCGCATCACTCAACCCCTCTCTCCCTCGCCCGTTGTCTGGAGCAGGGCTGCAGGCCTCTCCCTCGAAGCATGCTGGCTATTCCGTGCGAATGGAAAATGCTGTTCCCATCGTCACTCAAGCCCCAGGAGCTCAGCCTCTTCAGATCCAACCAGGTCTGCTTGCCCAGGTAATTCTTTCTTTATGATTCCCCGTATTGCCATTATCCCTGTTAATGTTTTCCACAAAAGCGATGTATCTCTGCTAATTCCCTCCCTGGCAATGAATTAGGTGCTTTGAGTCATTAGAATATCTCTGTAATATTCTGCATGATGCCCGAGTGAATTATCTTCCTAAGTGCCTAGCTTACAATTCCAAGAAGAAATTTAGACAGAGGGAGAATCTAGGGAGATTATTATTATATCTTTGTGATGCAAATTAATATAGGAGACCCAGGTTTTAATCCTAACTCTACTAATAACTCTCTGTGACTCTACTAATAACTCTCAGTGAACATTTCTTTGCCCCAAATTTCCTTCTTGTAAAATAGAAATCATTTTTTAGAGCCAAATAAGCCTTGGAGGTGATTTATTTTAAAGTTGAAACAGGGTTACAGAAGCAGTGAGCTGGAACCTTCCTTATCTGTTCATATAGGTGCTCTGATGGTAGAATGAGATCATGGAGGTGAAAGTGATGAAAATTTGTAAAGTGTTATGGAAATTTAAGGTAACACAGTGATACAACGGTCATAGTAATGACACGAACTTTAATAACAGATACATCATCATTATGCCAGGTTCTTTAGTTATGTTTTACTTAAGCCCCACAACACAGTAAGATATTTGTCGCCTTTTGACAACAATGGAAGATGAGGCACAATCACTGGCACCAAGTCACACAGCAATTAGGTGACAGAACCAGGACACAAACCCCAGAAGTATGACACCAGCACCTGTATTTACCCCCATGCTATACTGCTTCCGTGTGATCATTTCCGTTGTTGCTGCCAAGGACAGCTTGACCTTAGTGTTGTTGAAGCACCTTTATTTTTATTTTGTTTTTTTCCATCACCATTTATCCCCTCTATGCCCTCTTCCACCCACCCCCATAAGCACCTTTATTTTTAAATAAGGCAGGTTCCCAGAGGCTTTTCTCAAAGTGTTTCCAAAAACACTTTATGGTGTCCTTTGTTTAATAGAAGTTTGCAGTTTTCATTTTAATGTAGTCAAGTTGCATAGTTGTTTGGGGCTCTCTATTCCATTCCATTGGCCTAATATCCTATTGTCTTAACTGTTCTAATTATAATATGTCTTGGTATCTAGTAGGGATCGCATTCTTCAAAATTTCCTTGTCTATTCTTGTCCCTTCACTTTTCCACGTGAATTTAAAGATTACTCCTACATAAAAATTTTAGTCCCCCCACACAAAAAAAGTGTTGGCTTGTATTTATTGAACTTGACTAAAATTTATATTTACTTTAGGAACAACTGACAGTTTAATAAGATTAACGATTAAGTCATTTCATCCCTGAATATGGTATAACTGTATATGTTACCTTTTATTCCTTTCATTAAAGTTTTCTTTTGTTGGAATATTCCTAAATATTTTATAGTTTTTGTTGTCATTAATAATTTCATTCACTATATATTTTAATTATTTGTCTTTGGTGTATAGGAATATACTGATTTTGGTCTATTGAGTTGATCTAAACTCTGTTTAGTTCTGATTGTTTCTATAGATACCCTTGGATTTTCTATGTGAACTATCTTTTTATTTGCATATGATAGTTTTGTTTCTTCCTTTACATTCCTTATGCCTTTTATTTTTTGTTCTCCTATCACTGTGCCGACAGCACCTCCAAAACAATATTTAATAAGTGTTGATATTGGGCATGCTTAACTTTAAAGGAAATTCTTTTAGCTGTTTGCCATTTGGTATTTTGTTTAGGATAGTTGATAAAGACACTTTATCAAGTTCGCTAATTTTTAATGAAGTAATACCAAATGTTCTTCCTGCATCTCTTGAAATACTCACATTTTTGTTCCTTAATCTGTTAATGTAGCAAGTTGCTTAATAGATTTGCAGTGTTCAACTATCCTGTGTTTCCGAGATAAACTTTATTTGATCATGTTGTGTTTGATATGTTTGTATGCTTTCCAATACTGGATTGTTTGTAAATACTGTAGTTAGTACTTTTGCATCTGTGTTCATAAGTAAGAAATGGCATGTAATTTCTTTCTCTTAGAGAATCCTTATTTGATTTGGGCATCAAGTTTTCACCAGCCTCATAAAATATGTTGATTAGCCGAAACCGGTTTGGCTCAGTGGATAGAGCGTCGGCCTGCGAACTGAAGGGTCCCAGGTTCGATTCCGGTCGGGGGCATGTACCTGGGTTGCGGGCACATCCCCAGTGGGAGATGTGCAGGAGGCAGCTGATCGATGTTTCTCTCTCATCGAAGTTTCTAACTCTCTATCTCTCTCCCTTCCTCTCTGTGAGAAGTCAATAAAATATATTTTTAAAAAAATATGTTGATTATTACCTCTTCTTCTGTTTTCTGGAACAGCTTGGTTAAGGTTGATATTAACCATTCTTCATCTCTTTGTTCTTCCAAATTCACACTGCAAGTGACCACTGACACCAGCTCCTATAGGCAAAGTCTTATCTTTATCATTATAAAACAGAGAACCTTCTGTATTTAAAGCAGGCCTTCTACTCCTGCCTCTCGCACTAGTCCTCATAGCTCCCTTCTGTTTGCACAGTTTGGTAGCAGGGCATTCAGAAAAGGCCAAGGTAGATCAAGAGAAAGAACTATAGCTCATTCCAGAGCAAAGCAGCTTGTTCGTACTTTATCTGAGTAGCAGAAATCCAGGCCAGTCTCCCAGTGCTACTCCTCTGTAAGCCAAAATCTAGAGATTCACATGCATATTCAAGGGTACTTTTAAATCCTCTTTTTGTGTTTGCACAGTTAACCCTTGTAAGCCCAGAACTATCTCTGAAAGAAATTACATTAGCATCTCTTTTTTTAATATTTTTTATTGGTATTTAGAAACAGAGGGAGGGAGAGGGAAGAGAGAGAGATAGAAACATCCATGATGAGAGAGAATCATGGATCAGCTGCCTCCTGCACGCCCCTCCCTGGGGATCGAGCCCGCAACCTGGGCATGTGCCCTTGTCCGGGAAACGAACCCGGGACCCTTCAGTCTGCAGGCCGACGCTCTATCCACAGAGCCAAACCAGCCAGGGCTACATTAGCATCTCTTATTAGCTAACATAGACATTCTTCATTGTTCAGTTTGGTGGAAACCAACAGGCTCAGCATCCATCTTTAGTCATAGCAAAGGAGAGTTTTACCTTTTGCTCACATGGAAAAGGGTCCCTAGAGTATTATAAATCTCCAAGTGGATTTAACCTAAAGCTGTAATTGGGAAAGTGAACAAAAAGCATGTGTGTGTGTGTGTGTGTGTGTGTGTGTGTGTGTGTTTTAATTGCTACAGTGTATATAACAGGGAACTGCTGGAAACCAGTTGAATGTTCATTTGTAGGAGATTTGTTAAATTCGTGTGTGCATAAAATGGAACACCATGCATTAAAAAGGACAAGGTAGACTAGTGCGTCTTCACATGCAAAGAGTTCTAAAATCTACGAAGTAAAAAATTCCTACCCTGTCCAGTGTCATGTTGGGTCTTTTGTTGGTTGCTTTTTAGTTTTCTCTCTGCTTGTCAGTTAATCCCTGCCAATATGTTAGCCTGTTACAATGGAGCTCTCCCCTAAATATTTTTAAATGGTGCCTTCAAAGGACAAAAATAAGCTATCTTATAAAAATGAGTATGATAACTATAAGGAAAAGCAATAATTAAACGTTTAAATTGATGCCTTCATTTTTCTCTGGGTAAATTTCTAGGTTTCAGGCAGAAGCGCTACAAATACTATTAATTACTTTAAATATATTCAAAAAATTGGCATCATTCTTCTTATCTAAATATTTAAACCTTTTCAAGGATTTGATTTGTGCAAGTTTAGAGAGGGAGTCTTTCAAATCCATTCCTCCTGTTCGTTTTGTTTACTTTGCCCTTTTCCTCCCCACCTCCCAGCAGCATCACGTCCTTAAAGGGAACAGACCCTCTGTGGCACCCTGAGGATGTGTGTGCGGAAGGAAAGGGTGTGATCTTGCGCCCTCCTTTGAGAGACATGAGAGTGATCTTTATGCATTGCCTTAACGATAATGCTGTTTTGATACTGCCTAAAAGCTGCAGTCACCTCTATGCTCCCAAACCCCTACCCAGAGCTAACATCTTGACCACCATCATGGTGAGTGAGTAGGTTAAGGTGTAGAGGTGGGAAGTACAGTTCTTGATTGAGACAGAACTTAATTTATGTCACTCTTCAAATGGCAGGATCCAAAACCCGCTTTCACTAGCGAGGCTGGAACAGAAACTCAGAGACCCCCAACGTGTGGAGATGTCTGCTTGCCTGATCCTTGTAGACTCTGTCCTTGTAATAATAAGTTTTTTACATTCTTCTAGCCCAGCCGTGGGCAAACTATGGCCCGCGGGCCGGATCCGGCCCGTTTGAAATGAATAAAACTAAAAAAAAAAAGACCGTACCCTTTTATGTAATGATGTTTACTTTGAATTTATATTAGTTCACACAAACACTCCATCCATGCTTTTGTTCCGGCCCTCCAGTCCAGTTTAAGAACCCATTGTGGCCCTCAAGTCAAAAAGTTTGCCCACCCCTGTTCTAGCCGATCAAAGACCAGGTCTCCTCTTTTACACCTATCATAGGGTCTAGCATACTGAGTGTTTGGATCATTCAAATTGATCCTGTGATTAACAAACATGCTGATTGCAAATATCCTTCACTCTACAGCAGGCCTGGCCCAGTGGGACCCAGCAGATCCTGCTTCCCCCGGCGTGGCAGCAGCTGACTGGCGTGGCCACCCACACATCAGTGCAGCATGCGACTGTGATTCCTGAGACCATGGCAGGCACCCAGCAGTTGGCCGACTGGAGGTAAGCAGGAGAGCTGGTGTGTCTGGCCTGGGGGGCAGGTCCACCAGGGACCCTGAAAGCTGCTGCTCTGGCCTGTACTGAATTCCTGGTTCACATATAATTTTTTAAATTAAGAAGACTATTATGTGGAATATGACTACAATGTAAGGCGATGTAATTTTTAAATAAGTGTGCCAGGAAACAAGAAAGTCAGCTTCATTACTTTATGGTCAGTTATCACTTTTGACCCAAAATCCAAGGACATCATTTAATCACCAGTATAATTCACCAAACTTGACTCCGGATGATTTTTTGTTTCTCAGAATTAAATTCCACTCCCAAAAATGGAAGATTTATCACCAGTGAAAGAATGCAGAAGAGAGTCCCCGAGGTTCCTCAGCAATTCTAGGAAGTATTCTCAGGGTATTTTGCGATGTGGACACATTGGAGCCTTCTCAGTTCTCCCAGGGGAAGGCTTGACAGAACAGGATTTATTTCAAATGGTAGACTCTGCTGAGTGTGGCTTTCAGTTAATAGTTAAGCTCGAAGTCCGCTTTCCACAGACCCCAGCAGCATCCGGCTAGCAGCCACCAGCATGCCACCCCAGCATCTGTTTTCAGAACATATTCCACCCCACTCTCGGACTTCCTCGCCCACGCCATGCCAGCACCACCACATGCCCCCCTTCACCAGCGCAGAGCCACATGGCAACCCCTCCCACGTTTCCCCAGCTTCCCATTCCCCTGAGAGATAGTTTGGGCTGTTTCCCATTTGGCCCAAACATTGGGGCAGGTCATACCCCTCCCCTCTAACAGGCTCCATACCAGCCATGTGGCCTCCCCCACAGTTCCCTTTCTGACCTAAAAGACTATTGCGAATGAACAGCTCTCAGTAAAACGTAGAGAAATATAGAGATGTAAGCCCCCAGTCAAGCCTCAACGACAGGTTCCTCCGTTCCTCGTTTAATTTTCTGACTAGTGAAGAGAGTACATAGGCTCTTTCCCACAGCCCCACGCACTTCTCACTGACTACACCTCCCTTAAGAGCAACCCCGCTCATTAGAAATACTTTCAAACCAGGTAAAACTGGATTCATTTCTGGCTCTGCATGACCTGGGCAAGCTACTTAACCTCTATGAGCCTCAGTTTCTTCTTCCATAGAGTGGGTATAACAATCCTCACAGGATTGTTAGAGGCTGAAATTAAAATACAAAGCACTTGACCTGTATTTAATATGTACCATACCAGTGCCTTATACATGACGGGCGATATATAAATCTATCCTCCCTTCCCCCATTGGCATCAGGTCATGCTCAGAAAGACCATCTTCCCTCTCCAGCTCATTAGGAACAACAACCAAATGGGAAGCTGTTTGACCAGTTGTTTTTCCTCACCCCTTTTTCTCCTAAAAGACACATATATGTTGTACTCTTTTTTGTTTTCCCATTATCAGCATTATAGTTCATTTCATTTCAGCAATACTCACATATTCATTGATCCATGCGTATTCTCTTATTCCTCATCCCTCCTCTTACCTGGTTACGGCAGAAAACACTGAAAGCCTACACTCTTTCTTTCTCCATCTCATGCATAGACCAAAGAACATCCGTAATCATGGCTAATAAACAAAAGACAAGTACCAGTGCTAGGACCTGTATCAATGAAAAAGAGAACTGTGTCTGTAGAAGAAATAGCAAAAACAAAATAAAGAAGCTATAATATCAGTTTCTAAAACCCCTGTAAAGGTTCAAAAGACATTATCAAATCTCTAAAAAAGTGTCTCCCTCTTCTTTTTTTTCCTACTCATTTCCCCCAAGTTGCAAAGATAAATTTTACAATATTTTAAAAATTCAAATGAATTATCTTATAGCTTTTAATTTTGTTTATGTATTAAGTGGGCTTTTATGGGCAAGCCTCTGAATTAATCACCACTTATAATATTTCTGTGGGAAAACAAGTCTTTGAGCTCCATACAACCCAGATCATAAGAGCTTTTGAAACATAACCCATTTTCAAGATAATGGCTGCCAGCATTACTATCAGCATGTATGGCTGTTATTTATCTTGATTTAATACCAAGCTCGCTCTCGCTCTCTCTCTCTCTCTCTCTCTCTCTCATGAGAGAGAGAGATAGAAACATCCATGATGAGAGAGAGAGAGATATACACACACACACACACACACACACACACACACACAGTGGCCAGATTATTATGACTACCCCATCAGTACAATGAAGTGAATTAGTTATGCAAATAATAATAATCCTATCTAATAAAAGAGAAACATGGTAATTAGCCATACCTCCGCTACCCTTCCCATTGGCTAATCAGGGCCATATGCAAATTAACTGCCAGCCAAGATGGCGGCCGGCAGCCAGGCAGCTTGAAGCGAACATGAGGCTTGCTTGCTTCAGTGACGGAGGAAGCCAACGTTCCCCGCCTGCCGCTGCCGGCCTCTGAGCTTGCAGTTTGAAACATTGTTACAAATATAGAAGCTAAACAAACTCCAGAAACCTGCTTTCAGCCAGCCGGGATCTCAGAGCTGGAGTTGAAACAGTGTTTCGATTATAGAACCCAAACAAACCAGATACCTGCTTTCAGCAGCTGAGGCCTCAGAGCTGGAGCCAAGCCTCAGAGCTAAAGCTGGCCCAGAATTTAAAAAAAAGAAAGAAAGAAAGGAGCAGTTGGGAGCTTCAGTCACCCACCAGCCTGAAAATGGCCCTCAGCCCCTCACTCAGACTGGCCAGGCACCCCAGTGGGGACCCCCACCCTGAAGGGGGTGTGACCAGCTGCAAACAGCCATCAGCCCCTCACCCAGGCTGGCCAGGCACCCAAGCGGGACCCCCACCCTGATCCAGGACACCCTTCAGGGCAAACCAGCCGGCCCCTACCCGTGCACCAGGCCTCTATCCTATATAGTAAAAGGGTAATATGCCTCCCGGCACCAGGATCAGCGTGACAGGGGGCAGCGCCCCAACCCCCTGATCGCCCTGCGGCTCTGTGTGTGACAGGGGGCGGTGCCCCAACCCCCGCTCCACGGGCCCTGCTCTGTGTGTGACGGGGTAGAGCCATAACCTCCCCATCGGCCCTGCCCTGAGTGTGACAGTGGCGGTGCCCCAACCCCCTGATCAGCCCTGCTCTGTGTGTGACAGGGGGCGGTGCTCCAACTCCCCTATCGGCCCTACTCTGTGAGTGACAGGGGGGAGCTCCTCAACCCCCTGATCGGCCCTGCTCTGTGCGTGACAGCGGGGAGCTCCCCAACCCCCTGATCGACCCTGCTCTGTGTGTGACAGGGTACAGAGCCCCAACCCCCCTGATGGGCCCTGCTCTGTGCATGACAAGGGGCAGCGCCCCAACCCCCTGATGGGCCCTGCTCTGTGCGTGACAGGGGGTGGCGCCGCAACCTCCCCACGACCCTGCCTTGAGTGTGACAGGGGGCGGTGCCCCAACCCCCCAATCGGCCCTACCCTGAGCATGACTAGGGGGTGGCATCGCAACCTCCCGATCCGCCCTGCTCTGTGCATGACAAGGGGCTGCACCTAGGGATTGGGCCTGCCCTCTGCCACCCGGGAGCAGGCCTAAGCCAGCAGGTCATTATCTCCCGAGGGGTCCCAGACTGCGAGAGGGCACAGGCTGGGCTGAGGGACCCCCCCTCCCCCCCGAGTGCACAAATTTTTGTGCACCGGGCCTCCAGTAATAATAATAAAACCTTGAGAGTATTTGCTTAGGACGTTTTCAATATTCAGTATTTTTGGAAGTGTCAGTGAAGTACTGATGGGGTGGTCATAATAATCTAGCCACTCAGTGTACGTATCTAGGCAACCTTCAGTTACTCTCATTGTTCATTCAGCATGTAATTAATTCATCAGCCGTTACCTGCCTGAACACTGAGCTGGCCACTGAGAGAATTCAATAGCATGTTAACACTCAGCATCAAACACAATGGCTGCCAGTCTGCAGCGTTTGCCACATAAACTGCGATGTCCTCACTGATAAGACGGCATCACTGCCACACCCCGCCTGCCTCGCAGAGTGGCCAGCCCACTGAAGGCCGTGTGTAAGTTGGAGGGAATGTTTACCTGCTCTCCCGGAACCTGGGCTGAGCCTGCGTACTTGGCATTCATTCTTCCTCTTTCTTACCAAGTGGGGTTCCTGCCCCTCCTTCGGAACAGCCCTGACACTTCCCTGCCCCGGAAACTCACCTGATGAGCTCACTGGGCGAGGCTCATCCCTTCACTAGCCCACAACCAGCAACAGAACCAATTTGGGGGGTTAATTTGCTTCTAACTGGGAAGGATACGTTATCTTAAAAAAGAAGCCCTGCCCGGCTTGGCTCAGTGGATGGAGCGTCAGCTTGTGGACTGAAGGGTCCTGGGTTCAATTCCAGTCAAGGGCACAAGCCTGGGTTGCGGGCTCCATCCCCAGTGGGGGGTCGTGCAGGAGGCAGCCGATCAATGATTCTCTCTCATCATTGATGTTTCTTTTCTTTTTTTAAATATATTTTATTGATTTTTTACAGAGAGGAAGGGAAAGGGATAGAGTTAGAAACATTGATGAGAGAGAGAGAAACATCAATCAGCTACCTCTTGCACACCTCCTCCTGGGGATGTGCCCGCAACCAAGGTACATGCCCTTGACGGGAATTGAACCCAGGACCTTTCAGTCCACAGGCCGACGCTCTATCCACTAAGCCAAATCGCTTAGGGCATCATTGATGTTTCTATTTCTCTCTTTCCTTCTCCCTTCCTCTCTGAAACCAATAAAGAAATATATTTTAAAAATAAATAAATAAAATCCCTTTAATAAAAAAAGAAGAAGAAGAGCCCTGTGTTTGTAAAACCAATAAAAAGCCTGGTTTCCCATCTCTCTGTCAGGAACACACACGCTCACGGCAGCCATTACATCCCATCATGCAGCAGCCCATAGCTCTTGAATGGTCACGTGAACCTCCCAGCAGCCCAGCCC